TTGATGTGTGGTCCTGAGCCGTGACACCAGGGGGTGCTCTCCTGTAGACAGCAGTCCAGGTGAAACTGCAGTCTGGACAGAGAGATGGACAGGGAGAAGCTGTGCCACAGTCCATCAAAGATCCTCCATACGGGTTTCTCTACTGTCTCTGAGTCTGTCCAGGAGGAGCAGCAGGAAACCTATCAGACAGACCTGGGAGAATTTTATAGCAAAAAAAAAAGGATTTGGTGTTTCAGAAATTGATAATGTTTCTGTTACAGCTTTGCTCCAGCTTAAAGCAGCTGTGTGTAGAATTTGAACATTGAAAACATCTGAAACTACACCAGTTTTGACACTGGGATTTTTTTACTTTCTACAAACAAAAACATGTCCCATGAGAATAACTTGGTTGTAATAATGACACACACAGTAACTTTAAAACCAGTTAAGGAGCCACTTTCAGGCTTCATTGAGGAGTTTATGGTGGGGCAACTTGTCTCGGTCTAAAATCTTGACCCTAAAAGCCACCTAATATCAAACCAATATTGTTGTTTCTACATAAATTATATGTTTCTAGTCAATTGATTTCCCCACACTCTTTCAAATCCGAACATCACTCACTCAAACATCATCTTACTGTCCACCTACAGGAGTTAATAATGTTATATTGACATTGATAAAAAAAAAAACAATGCTCTTTCAAAGCCTCTGAAAACTTATTTTTGTGTATATGTTGTTGTGTTTTCTTACTTATGGTGTTCCCGAACACTGACAACAGTGGCGAGTTGTGGCCCCACCTTCTGCTGGGAAAGCTCCTCCCCCTCCTGCCCTAAAATAACCAATAGCGTCCTCTCGTCTGACCAGCGTTGACCCAGACGCAGACGCATCAGCACACTCAGCTCATCTGGAAACCTGTCATGTAAACGTTAACACATTCACAAATGAATGTACACATACAGAAGAGTCTCCAACACACACACACACACACACACACACACACACACACACACACACACACACACACACACACACACACACACACACACACACACACACTTCTACTGAATCATTCACTGGACATGGACAGTTGTGAGATGTGTATACAGGACAGTATAGATGTTAAACTCACGGTGGTGGTGTCACAGAGAGACTGTCGCTTCACAAGTGAATGTAAACTGTATCACAAAGCTGACAGTTTCAGACAGCATTAGCACTCTGTGTGTTAACATTCAAGGTCAAGTTTAACACCAAAGCCTTGGGCTAAATCCTTTTTAACCTACACATCCTGTAAAGAAAATCCACCCAAGATAAACAAGTTCACTGCAGTCATGTGTGACCTTGTCCACTCTCTGAAAAGAAAAATAATGTTTTTCCTGTAAAACATGCATTAAAATGGTCAATTTATCTATAGTGGGATGGCTGTCAGTATTTAGTTTATTGTGTATGGTATAATAAGATAGTAACAGCCTCCCATAATGAAGAGCAGAGCAGAATAAAAACAAGTTGTAGCAGATTATGTTTCTCCCATTAGTATGACCAATGTGTTTCGGTGGATGCCTCACATCTAATACTAATAAAGCACAACAAGGTTAAAGGTCTAATGTTTGAGCTAATCACCTGAAATTTAAAAATTGTAAATATGTAGGCAACGTTTATATTCTACCGTGACAAAAACCAAATGCTGCACACCCGATTTCAACCTGATGCTACTTGCTGAATATTCAAGTTGTAAATGTAACATAAACGTAACAGACAACATCCCAAATCACTCACTCAAAACCGACATTTCTAATTCAAGTGGATGAGTAAAGCTGTCAGTAATAGGCAACATATCCTGCTTATGTGGTGAATACAGTAATGATGAGGCCCAGCTTCCTGTCAGTTAGCCCACGTGTTTCTTTGTGTATCACTGCTTTAAGCCAGCTGAATTCACAAATAAATTAACATATGCAACATTTGTTTCTGCACACAGCCATCAGAAATGGATCAAACTCAAAGGCAGCTTACCTTTTACACCTGCGGAAGACATGTTTCCTCTGATTGACCCATGATCCTTTGCTTTAGGATGGAGGTAACACTGCTGTGGTAGCCTGTCTGGTCTCATCAAAACAAACAAGCTTGAACCCATGGACCAGATGGTAGTTCCTAACTGGCATCCCTGTCTTCACACAAACACACTCAGCTTACGTTCTGATCTCTCAACAACAAACTAGATATCTCACCTTCGTCTCCGCTCTGCTTCCAGTCCAATGAATCTTTCTCACTTGGCTATTTTGGGAGTATGTGAACATAGATATAAAAACAAGCAAAAACAAATGTTCCTGAAGGAGTCAGTGGGTTCACAATATTATGAAATGTCATATGTATGAAGTTTCAGCCTGTTTCATTTTACACTCACAGACTCGGGTTCTTAACTGGTTTAGTATCGATTAGTAGTGAGGATTATACGAAATCTTTCCAGAAAAAAAATTTGCCCCATCATTGGCATGTTTTGCATTCATATCAAGCAGTTTGCCAAGCTCTCAGCTCGATAGCTTGTTTATTGTGATTTCTATTTGTTCCTTTCATGTATTTTTAGGGGCATTTCAACCTTTATTTGAGACCAGACAGTAGAGAACGGCTAGGAAAGTAAAGATGTTGTAATAAAATGATCAGTATCCTCGACCCCTAGGTTTGAATGCTCCCTTCCCTTTATTATTTTTATACATACTAATTTGGAGAAATGTTTGCACACAGCAAACCATCATCCAAAGGCGATCAAATCTTTGAGGTTGCCATGTTGCTACTTAATTTAAATTAGTAAAAACAAAAAAAAACTCTGAAAACTCAGAACAAAACAGCCATGCTAAATGTAGCTAAATTCTTAAGTATCCAAAAGCAGTAATATCACCCAGTACAGAGGAGACAAGTGATCTCTCTTTAATGGTCCTTTGAACAGATATGTAAACACTTCTTTTGTTAAAGTCATAGACAGGCATCATTATTGAAATAAAATATAAACAGTGCAATAAATTAAACATGGATTTATTTTGTACAGTTTATACTACATATTTACCAGAAAGCTTCTCTATCTAGGAAATCCAAGCTTGATAGGGAACTCTTTGGGCGAGTGTCCCCAGGCACAGATTAGGCTGTTCTGTACAGACGGACATCAAGTTCAAGTCCTAGGCTGCACTGTACATGTTAAGCACGGTCCTATGAACTACAGGCTGAAGCCTTTACCCTAACCTGTGTACTGGACGGATCGAGCCTTGTAGTCGACACACTTCAGAGGAGGTTTATCTGCTAAAATACATCTTTCTCAGTCCAGAACTTTCTGTTCAGGGCTGCAGCAGGTTGATTCCATCTCTTCTGACATGTGGATCCTCAGCCCAGACGTGTCCTGTGTTCACATTTCAGAAAACATGTCAAACTCAACATATTATAACAACACAACAGCACATGATATAAATATACATCTTATTCAGGGGCAATAATAAATGACAGTGAATGCTGGGAATGAGAAAGCATAAACATTCCTCAGCCTGATGTTTCATAATGACTTTTTTTTGGCGAAATAAATCTCATTAAACCTAATGGATATACTAAAAAAAGAACAATCAGGCAGCTCTAAGACACATCTCTCACACATCTCCCATTATCATTATCACCGTGAATCATGCATGTGGAAATTTACTACAACTCTGGAGCACAGAAAATACCGTAATGCTTGTTTCTACTGACCAAACCATGGACTTAAATGTGATGGAAACAATGGGGCAGTTAACAAAGACACAAACCAGACTGTGCCTGTGATTCCTCTTTTGTAAAAGCATCAAAGTGGTTAAAATCATTTGCATCACATGTATAAAATACATTTAATTTCTCATCATTTTCGTCATCGCACGAAAGAAGGCAACACATCCTGAAGAACACGAATCCTCGGCTCTATGTACAGGAAGAAAATGGCTTTGGTCACCTCTTGGACACATCGACAGTGGTTATCCAGCACAGAAATGTGGAGAATTAACACACATTTGGCTGTCTGTCCTACAGATGGTTATACCCCAGGCCAAAGCCATTATAGTCCATGAACAGAGCAGATGTGGACCACAGGGCCTATGTGATATCTCCACTGGTTCGATCCTTGTGACAGTCTTGTCATTCATATCATGCTGACTGACGTGTAAGGTTAAGAGACTTATCTAGTCCCTCTGATTTTTTACAATTGTTCATTTTAGGTCAAAGATCTGAAGAACGTCTTAAGGTTTCAGAAGGTAATATATAACAAAACCAATGGTCCAGTATCCTGAGACAAAGCATCTCTTATTCTGTAATCTGTTCAAGATCTTCAGCATCTTTTTCACGCTACAGAGCCGACATAAACTGTGCTGCAGATGAATGTGCACTCTTACTGTTTTCACATGTGGGCAGAAAAATAACTTGACCATCGCTAGAGGTTTAGCTCACTTTAAGGTCTGCAACTTGATTTCCTGTATTGACTACTCATTGATAAGTGACTGTATAATGCCCGTGAAACATGTGGATATTGTTTTTGTAAACATGAACTGTTGGGAATGGCTGGTTGCCAGAGATAAACTGGCAAAATCTGGCTGAAACAACCCTTGATTCATTGCTACTCTTACAACTATGCACAGTAAAGACTAACAGCAACCTTCTCAAATGACCTGAACATAAGAACCAAAAGCTAAAATACATTCATTGTATTACATTTTTACATGCTACCTCTATGTTCACCTACACAAAATGCACTTCAGTTCACTTCATCAGTTTCTTGGATTCAACGAGAGAATTGGACACCTTGGATCGACATCTCACCATGTTTTGTTCAAATAACAAACAAAACACTAACTTGTGTAGGAAGGCTTGGCAAGACGTCCCTCCCGCAGTGAGCTACTCATGATACCGTCAGTCTCTGCTATTCTTTTGATTTGGCAAATTTTCTCTATCGAGAGCACACACAGACAAACACACACCCATGTTCACAGACGTAGCTTCCCTCCAGCTACAACAGACACACAAGCAAGGACACGTCGTAGACAGACACCCAAGTATCCAGATAAATAACAGTGGCATTCAGTCCCGCATGTTATGCTACTGGTGCTGAGAATACAAGGTCTCAGAGCCACAGAGCTACAGCCTTGTGATGCCATGTGGAGCTGCTCTGAGGTGCCCAGTCTTTCTGTGCATCCTCTTCCTCTTTTCTTCCTCTCTGGTGTTTTAGCAGCGGTCGTCCTCGTCTGTGTCACTTAACAGCTCGCTGGCTCCAGCTGGACTCGTCTGGCCCAAGTGCTTCCGGAAATGCCCGTTAGGAACCTGCCAGGAGTGTCTGAGCTGAGGGGCGGAGCTTATGGCGTTGGCCCGTCCCAGGCTGGTTGCCACGGCAGTCTCAAAGGTAAGGGTCTCCTGCTTCCCACCTGCCTCCCCTCCGGCAAGGTCCTCGTGGAATGGGAGGTAGGGCTCTGAGATGTAGCGGTGAGGAGATGGGTGGCTCGGTCCTGCAACCTGACATCCGGATGACCCCTGGCCTGCAGTTAGGGGCCCGCCCTCCTTGTCAATCCTCCGTGATGACTCTGTGGAGCCACCAGGGCCATCCTGAGGCTGGGTCTGTCCCTCAGAGGAGGTTGCTGGTGTGGGAGAGGTGTGGGCTCCGCAAACCAGAGGGGAGTAGGAGATGTAAGGCCGAGGGCGAGAGGGTGTCTGGGGCAGCTGGCGTCGATTACGAGGAGTACTGGATTCTGAGGCTGAGTGGGCGGGGCTGCCTGATGCGTTCACCTGCAAATAATACAAGCACTATATTCACTTCACATCACAGGTCCGAACCATGTGATTTGATGGTAAGAATGCAAAAGTACTGCACCTGTCTCTGTAAGGTTTGTGTGCGTCCCTCGCTAGGTGAGCGGGACCTTCTCCTCTCACAGGAAGGGTCCCGGCTTCGCTCCTCAGAGTTGCAGCGGGACACGTCAGGAGACAAGAGGTGGCGTCGTTCCTTAGATCTCCCTCTCTCATGGCTACTTGTTTCTCTGTGGTTGATTCTTGGGCCTAAGAGTTGTGTAGACTTCAGTTAGCTCAAACACAACAGAATAAAGCCACCTCGGTTTTGAGGTCAGGGTAAATTAAAATATCTCCCTTTGCACATCCCTGTTAATTGTTTTTTTTTTTAGATCTGACCTTATCCAAATCATCCAGTTCAAAGGCTAAGCCAGCAATTTTTTTCCATATAAATGACAGGTTCAACGATGTAATTGAGGGAAATTGAAAGTCTTATTGTGGCGACATCAGTTTAAACTGACATTCTAATAAGTAGACATTTATTAATTAGTCATAGATTTACGTCATCATACCAGTATATTGTTCTACTATTGTTCTCAACGCCCCTGTTTGCAGAAGATACACGTATTTTGCAAATTTTAATTCCTCTAACTTTGCCCAGGTTTTCAAAAAAAACACCAAACTCAAATTTTCAGGGTAAAACATTGCTATGAATATGAATCAGACTATGGGAGGTGTTACGACATGTGTTAGGTGACCTCTGTAGCTCCTCTGTCGGGGTCTGTATGTGCCGTCAGGACTGACTCTCTCCAGAGAGTGTTGTTCCTGCCAGAGGCCGTTCACACACTGATCTCCGATGGTGGAGAAGGAGCGTTTCATCAGCTTACTGTCTGCTGACATCCCAGGCTATATAGATACAAAACAACCAGAGGAGGAATCATGTAAGCAACCATGCATGACACCTAATCTGCAAACACATGCTCTCGCTTATACACTGACACAAACATATACACACACACATAAAGGGATGTGTGGATCTCATTATGTGCTGAGCAAACTCTACAAACGATGACTATTGTGGCTGCAAATAAATAGCTTCAATCTAATACAGTCAGTCAGCAAATACGAGCATATCTAATGTAGTGCAAGTGGATTTTAACTGTTTACTGATATTGAAGGCACTTTCTAATGCAAGATTTGTTAAGTACTGAATATAGGTTTGAATAAAGATTATTATTACCTGTGGGTCAACAGCCAGTCTGGGCATGGAGGACGCTCTGATAGATGCTGTCCGCTGAGGTGATTTAATAACTGTTGGGTCCTGCCTGGCCTGCTGCATCACTTGGTTATACTCCACTACGTCTTGCACCTACACAAATAGCACAGAGAGGAGGGTTGAGTGGGCCTTATTCACATTTCATAACAAGACTCAGGAATCAAACTGGGGATACTGCAGACACAAGTCTGCTGCAAAAAAGCAAGTACTTATATTAACAAACACAAAAAACTAGCAACCAACCACAACATCATGCTTCTTTAGTGTGTGACTGATTACTGAAGGGTAGTGTTGCAATCAACTTTTGTTTGACAACAAACCATGAAAAGAGAAAAGTTGCTACCAGTGTGTGTAAATGGTGGTGGTGGTGATGATGTGGGTGGTGGTAGGGGTGGTAGGGTGAACGGTAGTCGTCGTCACCCTCCTCCTCCTTCTCTTCTCTGGAGCAAGACAGCGGCTGCAGGAACATCTCTTGGGGAGAGATGGGGCTGAGCGCCACAAAACCTCCTCTGGTGCTGAAAGGACACACGCAAAGACTCAGACTGCAATGTACACCTACATAAATTTGTCAATATTGTTGTTGATGAAGAGAATACAAGGAAAATCCAACAAAGAAACAACAAGCTTTTTCCAACTCTATCACCATAAATAACCACAAACCAGAGGAGGGTAAAATTTGAATATTTACAGAGCAGATCCGGCGCTATGTCTGAGGAATGACAGAGATTTGGCATTGCATAGGATTTCTTGAGGCAGAGAGGAGGCGTCCATTCGCTGGAACATAGGAGCATGTTTCTATGGGGAGAGAAAGAAACAGGGGAAAACAATAATTTAAAACAAGCCATAAATAATGCTGAACAATACTAGCAAATTATTTATTGAAAGAATGAATGTGAAAATGTGAAAGTTGAAAGATGTTTTAATTTGTCAATAAGATAAATACTTTGTCTTTTTTGGTTCAAATTTAAACTCTCTGTGTTTGGTGGTAGCAATGCATACTAAAGTCTCAGGATTTAAATTAATTTAAATGACTAAATACTTGTCAAGATGAAAAGATAAATCGGTGGATGGTGTTTGCTTCGTGGAAATAAAAATAACCCCAAATTGTTCATAATATACTTATAAAATGAAAATACATTAAGCAAGAATAAGAATACAAGGTACCTGTTCCTCTAGTTGCTGTCTGAGCTTCTTAGCTTTGCTCTGCTTGTAGTAGTCCATGATCATCATGGCAGCATAGATCTTCCCTATGGTCATGTCACTGGCTGAGAAGGAGAAAGAATGATAGCAAAGATGTACATTTCTTATTTTTCTTTGATATATTAATTATTGTACCGTCAGTATAATGCTGATGTTACCTTTGTGAATAGGAACCAGCAGGTCCAGTGTCTTCTGAGAGAGATGAGGCCAGATGATACTGATCTCCTTCTGCAGGTCCAGATCCATCTGATTTCTATCCTCTTCCCCTGGAAATACACAAACAAACACGGAGAAACAATAACGACAAACACACACACACATATTGTGTGTAAATTAAGGTGATTTCATTTTACATCACAGTAAATGTGTGTCTCCAAGTTTTTGATATTTTGTCTAACCTCTGGCTATCTTGATTTCCAGAGCAGTGCGGATGAGAGCCATGAGGGTGGAGGTGAAGTGGACAGACATGTCATCGTCCACAGGCATGTTCATCAAGACTAGTCTCTGATGGCGGCAGAGAGAACATTAAAGTCAGCGAAAACCCAGGACAACAACAAAACATGATAAAACTAGAACTACTGCCCAGAAGTACAGTGGTTGCTCATAATACTTTTTAGACGCATTATCTCATGATCACAACAATTTAATGTTTTACATATTACAATTTTTTACAGATTTTTACAATTGATCAAGGTCAGACACAGGCGAGACAGTCACTGTGTTATTATGTTTTGTGTCAAAATAAAATGCCCAACTAGTACTACAAGTGAAGAGCTTGCCTACTCATTAATCTGTTATGGAGATAAGATAATAAATTATGGTTTCAAAGCAATTAGCTTGAAGCAACCATGGCCTTTCTGGGCATCAGTACAGAATTAAGAGACTTTCTATTTAAACCAAAATTTCATACAGCTTAGTTTGTAAATTTAAACTTGTTTTAACTACACCAATAAATACAGAAGAACAGAAGGACAGGCATGTAATTATTTCTCGTGTCTTGTTAGATAATTATGTTAAACAATATTTTTTTGTGATCTTAAGAAAAAAAAAAAACCCAACAAAAACCATCTTTACACACGTCCTCTCCTGTCCTCCTGTAAACAGAGGCCTGCACAGAATCTGGTGCTTATCTAGTTTTATAAAAGAGGATAAACTCACACATTCTCACACATTCTCTTACTGCGTAGCGTTCACCTGCGATGGAGCATGCTTGCAGGCTCACAGACTCACTCAAACACACAGTCAAACAGCACATACACTTACACATACATTACATAAAACACACAGATGTAGCCCTGGGCTGTGGCAGGAGGCACATGCAGACAGGAATATGTAAGAAACAGAGAAGTATGAACCACATGAGAACATTTGACAGCAGACTTCACAAGATCTAGCATGTAGATGTTTAACAACTTTCTCATCAAAGTCTTTTAACTGCTTTAGGAAAATAAACTCCACCAAGACTCTTTCTCTGGCACGATGAGAAGCAAAACAGGCAAATCATTACTGTAGTGCTTTGTATCTGCCAATGGAAAATACTGAAACTTAAAGCTGTTTCAACAAGCAATACTACATCATATAATCAACAGCAAAAATGCCCTTGCCTTTTCAATGTATGACACACAAAATAAGCTTGTCCTTGTTGATCAACATATAAAGGCAGTGCCTGTTATTCTCCAGTGTTTAATCTACCTTATATGCCACCTTGGAGGGGCATTTCTTGCCCAGGCCTAGAGGTGGCGACATGTTGGTCAACATCTCATACATGTCTGTATAATGGATACGACCACTGGGGGCGCAGGTAGCCATGAAGATGGGGGATGAGAAAGAGGAATAAAGAGGGAGGGACAAGAAGGGGAGGGAAGGAAGGGAGAGGGATGATGTTGGAGGTGGAGGAGAAATTGAATAACGGTGGAGGCGTCGGGGAGTGCGTTCCCAAGGGATGGAGGAGGGAAAAAAAGCACAGGTGGGGGTGAAGGGTAAGAAGAGAGGAACAAGAATGGAGGAGATACAAGAGAAAGGATTATTCCAAGGCATCACAAGGGAGGAGAGTAGGACAAATAAAACAGGTTGTATTCTTTCTATGCTGCCGACAGGGGCATAGAAATCTGGGAAAGGAGAAAACCTCGGACAGGATGGGCAAAGGAATGACAGCCTCACTGGATCTGGTACTAATATCAAATACTTACATTGTGTAGTGTTGTATGTGTGCATGAGAGTCCTAAAACATCTTTAAACAAGATCCAAAAGGTAGAAAGAGACCGGCTTCCCTCAAAGTCCTCCACAATTGCATCAAAAACAAGCTTTAATCATTCCAAAAAAGAAAAAGTGTTCTGATGAAATGCAAATGAAAGTGTGTATTTTTTTTTTACTCATACTGTAAGTCTGGGTGAATGAGGGACAACCTGTGCCTTAGTACCCTGAGACTGGAGTGTCGTCATTCTTTGACCTGAGTAACACACCCTTAAAGGTCAAGCAGGGCGGTGACAGCTGGTGGAGGGAAGGAAGGGAGGGCTAAGAGGAAGTCAGGTAGGACCCCACAGGAAAGAGGCAGAGAGGGTGGGGGTGGGGGTTGGGGGGTGGGGGGTGGGGGTGGGTTGTTGACATTGGGGAACCAAACCTTGCATGCCACCCTGTGGGGGCAGTTCTTCCCAAAGCCCAGGGGAGGTGAGATAGTGCGTACAACTTTGTACATCTCCTTATAGTGGATCCTACCACTGGAAAGAACATACATGTCTTTAGTTGTGTGTCACTTCAGCCTTGTCGTCCATAAAAAGAGTGAAATTATCTAAGTGGAGTCAATCCCCTTGTTTAAATGTAAAAAAAAAAAATCAAAGCAGCAGTCTGAACAACATTAAATCAAACTTTTTTAACCTGTGGTGGACATACACAAAATTACATTGTTAGAAAACGTACGGTTGCTAGTTTTTCAAACAATACTTTTCTGTGCACTGGTGAAATAGTTTGGACATGGTTATCAGTCGCTATTGTCATTTATCTCTGTTGCAGCTTTGTCAGATTATAGAGAGACACTCCAAAATTGCTTTTTACAGCCAATATGAGACACAGTGTGTGTTTGTGCCACCAATCAACATGAATCAAGAGACAGAAAGACGATAAATTTATTTGTGTTTCAGAGCTTTCCAAAGCTGATGAATACTCCTGTTCAAACTAAACCAGCGAATCGGTTATTTTTATTTACTAAACCTGCTGCAAGAGAAATCTACTGATGTCAGATTTATAACAGATGTACTAACCAGAGTCCCTACTGTAATATGTTGGTGCCTAACAGGGATACATATTTTATTCTCGACATTATACAGTAGCTGCGACCGTACTTTTCCTGTGATACTGTCTACTGTCTTACTTCAATGTTGATGTGAGTATAAGGTCCTGTGGTGCCTGAACCATGTGCATCACTACTTGTAAAGTGCTGTGAAGTGTAGTACCAAAATATCCAGTTAGAGCACTGTAGTTGTTTTCATCCATCGGTACATGTTTATGTATTTTACTATCTTACAATAAATAGGTTTTATCAAATTGTTATCAAACTATATAGTATATGTATCATATTACAAATTAACACTAGCATTTGATGTCAATAAAAACTGGACATTTGTGCATGCACAGGCTACACCTTTGATAGAAGTGCATAAAGACTGAGAAACACTGACCAGGCGGCACGATCATACTCCCCCCAGATCCGGACAAACTCATCCAGGTGGTGAGGACCCAGGATGGATGAGTCTCTCGTCAGATACTCAAAGTTATCCATGATCACAGCCACAAACAGGTTCAGCATCTGGATAGAAGACAAACAGCAGAGGAAGGAGAAGCCTTGGTATTTAGTTGAATAAAGGTGGAAGGTGCTCAAAAGATAAAGTATGATTCTTACCAGGAAAAATAGTACGAGACAATGAATGGACAAAATACGTAATATAGAAAGTGCAATTCAGCCTCTTGACAAATGTTTCAAATGTCAGGTGAAAACATTAATATGCTTACACACGTTATCCTTGTTGCAACTTAGAGGTATTATTCTCGGTTTCTTTGTCTTACCAGGAAGGAACTGAAGAAGATGAAGGAGACAAAGTAGAAATAGGCAAAGTCGGAGCCACAGCCCCCCTCCGGGTCAGACTTAAGAGAAGGATCGGTCTCACACTGCTGCCCCCCCAGACATGACAACATGATCTCCTGCCATGACTCCCCCGTGGCACTCCTGGACACATACACACACATAACACAACATGAGGAGAAGGAGTTGGTTAGGACTTGACTTGACTGTCTGTATTCAGGCCAGTATTGAAGGGTTATGATTTTCATCACGTTTAGATGTACAGATTTGTGGTTGTGTCTTATGAGAACAAACTTGCACTTCAATGTGGAGACATAAACACAGTATCAACACTTTGGCCTAGATAGTCATTTAATTATTTTACCCTTTGTGCTTTTTATCACCAGATGTAAAACTCTCAAAGTATCTGAAAAGCTATTTGCTAAGGAGGTAAGTGATGCACTGCAGCATCTATCACCTCTTGACACTGAATAGCCCCTTGGGTATTTAGAAAGCAAAGCCTTACTAATGTAACTAGGCAACATCATTCAGACGACATTAAAAGAAATGTGTTACCAAGTGTAGCAAATCAAGAGTAGTTTGGATCTCAATTTAACACAAAAACACTAGCTACTCTAGAGTACTGTAGCTAAGCAGCTGGATTAAGTACAGTGCAAAAGTATTGAGTTTCAGATTAGATCTTGCCTCCCAAGTTTGTGTCTACCTTGACAATGTCTGCAGATGCCAAGGTGTCCTACCTGAATAGCAGCATCAGAGCACCAGAGAAGGTCTTGAAGTTGTTGTGCTGGTGAATGTGAGTCTCCTCGTTCAGCTTTATGTTCCCAAACACCTGATGCACACATATATACACACATATGCAAAAAAAAACATGCATAACATAAACACTGTCACCATCAAAGACTGAATTTCACCATGAAACAAACATATTTATGGTGTTGAGGGACGCTAGATAAGAAAATGGTAAATGCAGCATGTTAAAGACTGTCTCAACAGAGAGACGGAGCCTGATCAAGAGCCTGTCCTTCCTGCCTCTGACCTGCATGCCAATGATGGCGTAGATGAAGAATAGCATGGCGATGAGCAGGCAGACGTAAGGCAGGGCCTTGAAGGACTGCACGAAGGTCCACAGAAGAATCCGGATGGTGTAACCTTGTCTCAACAGTTTGATCAGACGAGCAGCTCGGAACAGTTTCAGGAAACTCATGTTGAATGTATCAACAAACTGGCAAAAGGACAGGAATACAGTATTCATGTCTACATAAATACTTAAAGTTGAAAAAGAAACTGTGCAGAGAAGAAGACTGATTATGAATCTTTTTTTTCTCAGTGTGCAAGGTACACTCTCTCTCTTTTAGTATTAGAGTCTGTTGATACTTGATCATGTTTTTATCATTACCTGCAGGTCTACCACGATCTCAGTGATGCTGCCCAAGACAGTGATGAAGTCAAAAATGTTCCATGTGTCTCGAAAGTAGTTCTATATAAAACAGGAGAGACACTTTGAGTGATTTCTAAAGAGGACCTTGAATCCACACTCAGGCTGCATGTTGCTCTTTTCTCTCACCAGAAAACCAAAGGCCATGATCTTGAGGACACACTCAACAGAGAAGAGAACAGTGAAAGCCGTGTTCAGGTGCTTCAGTACAGCCTCATACGTCGGCGGGGCAGAGTAATACTGAAAATAGAAAGGGGGCAGAGGTTAGACTCAGAGTGTTATGAGGAAGATAAAAAAGTGGAATACTCCCTAACCAATGCACTGCAGCTCAACCTAATGATACCAGTCTGATATCAGTGTGATCTTCAGCCCTGCACCCAGCAGATCTACAGGTTGATGGAAGATTCCTCCAGACCCATAAATAGTGCCTCAGTCTCTGCACCTCTCATCTGTCGCACTATAAAAGGAGTCATTCCTCTGGGGGCGGCAGCCACAGTTAATGAGGTCATGCTAAATAGCAGCCCCTGGACATTATAGATCAATATTTAATACAGGCTGAGTCACCTTGCGTCTGTCTGTCTGTCTGACTGTCTGACTGACTGTCTCAGTGACCAGACCAAAAACTAAAACATCAGCAGATCTAAATGCAAACATCACAGTGGGATGAGGTGGTGCTGCGCTTCCTAAAAAGGACACAACAGTTTCTACACATTCATGCTTCTAGTCAGGAGTCACACATCTGGGCTTATTTTAAAACCAAAGTGTTAACAGTCACAAGTTCATAACAGAATATGTTGCTGAGAAGCAATGCAAGGTGTGTTTTTCCTGTTAGCAAACAAGGATATGTGGAAAATGACGTCATTTTTAGGAGTGAGCGCAGAGAGAGAGAGAGCGAAGAGACAATCAACTGCTGTGCCCTCATTTATCACTGATCATTTATCATCTAATGTCCTGGTCTTATTAGAAATGAATCATTTTGGTCTTTGATTACTTCTTGTCATAGCTTCACTTCACTCACCTTCATCATTAGTACAATGGTGTTTAGAGCAATCATGGCCAGTACGGTGTACTCGAACGAGGGTGACACCACAAAATGCCACAGGCGGTACTGGAACGTGTGACGGTTCTGCGGCATATAACGGGTCAGGGGCTTGGCGCTGATGGCAAAGTCTATGCACGCCCTCTGAAATACAGAAGACAAGTGAAAGAGGAATGCAAGGGGCATGAAACAGTAACAACGCAGGCAGGCAACTGTCCTCTGTCTCTTTCAGTGAGAGGCTTCTTTGTTTTTGCTTCTTTTCTATTCGTGTTGAACTCTACGGGAAAAACATGTTTTCTTCCCTCACCTCATTCTTCTCCAGGCTGCACTCCTCCATCATCTTATCCCCCTGTTCCTGGAAGGTGATGATGATGAGTGCCACAAAGATGTTGACGAAGAAGAAAGGAAAGACGACAAAGTAGATTACGTAAAAGATGGACATCTCCATCCTGTTGCCGTGGCTTGGCCCTCTGTCCTCCTCGGTCACATCTACCGAGTGCTGCAGGACCCTGAAACAAAAAAAAAATTTCAACAGCTATTAGTTGGCAGAAAGTGTTTGGATTTATTTGTTCACTGGGGTGGGGCTCATTTGGAAGAGGACATCATTTTAATTTATTTCCTCAGCAGCAGTTAATTAACGAGGGTTGGACCAGTACAAACCCACAAGAACTATCAGTGGAATATTGGTATAACCTTATTGTGAGATAATGAGCGGCAAATTCTTTGTTAAATTAATCAAATATATTAAATTTCCTTCATCAAAGGTCAGATTTGACCATTTCCAAAGAACAAGCCAGATGTTAAAGGTTATAATGCTCATAAAAACTAATGAGCCCTCTAAGAATGGAATATGATGCTTGTTGAATTTCCTCATCCAGCATGAAAGTTAGCAGTGATTCCAGTCAGACACTCACTGAGGCCATCCCTCTCCAGTGGAAACAGTGAACAGGGTGAGCAGAGCCCAGATGACGTTGTCGTAGTGAAACTCATGTCTCTTCCAGTCTCTTCTCTTCACCTCTTTCTTGTCTTTCCCGTAGTCAATGTAGTAACCCCTGCAACAGCCGACATCAGAGGTGCATCAGACATAAAGACATAATAAGAAGTGTGGAATTTAAGGTTTATAACATTTTTTAAAAGGGTTTATTAACTTTGGTGTCATGTTTTAGGAGCCACAGGACAGATGCAGTTTAAACAATTAATCCAAAAAAGAATGGATTGAATGATGAAAGGAAAAATGAAGGAGATATGTAAGGAACAAGGAGGAAGAAAGAAGGACCAAGAAAAAAAATAATGAAGAACCAAATGGAGGAAGTTATTGTATTTAGAAAGATGAGAAGTACAACAATAAGTACTTAAGAAAAGGAAGAAAAGAATAAAGAAAGAGACAAACATATACGTGAAGAAAGATGGCTGTAAGTAAGAAAGAGGGAATAAAGGAGGAAAGAAAGTAGGAATGAAGAACTGAAATAAGTAAATGAATATTACTGGCAGTCCTTCTCTGTGTCCTTTGAACTGTCAGTACAGTAGAAAAACTTCCCCTTAAAGAGCTGCACAGCAATGACGGCAAAGATGAACATAAAAAGTTTGTAGACAATCAGGATGTTGAAGACGTTCTTCAGAGACGTCACCACACAGTCAAAGACCGCCTGGAAGAGAAAGACACATGAGGTAAAAAAAAAAAAAAAAAGGTTCAGACACTGAAAAAGGGGAAGGAGAACCAGCAGTCAGATATTTCATTTATATGTTCTCCACATGCAGCATGTAACTGTCAAGATTTAGTTGTATCTATTAATTTATGTACTAATTCATTTTGACAAAGTTTCAGAATCACTGAGCTTTGCTTCGTTTGAATGCTTGTGAGGAAATCTACCAATTAGCTTTTGTCCAACTCAAACCGATTTAATGCATGAAAACATGTAAAACAAACATATTATCCTATTCCCTACATTAATATTTGCTTGTTTGTTGTCAAGATCATAATGACTGATTTAACTGGCATGAAACTAGTCGTTGCTTGAAAAATGATACATCACTCTAAAGAAATATTGTAAGGTTTGAAAAATGCTCATCAGTAATATAACGAGAATGCAATTTGTTGTTTGTAGTTGAAAATACGTCAGACCATGAATGGCCATTTAGGTAAAGTTAATGTTCTCTGTTAACTCAAAGATCTATACTTCCTCTCTTAGTGAAACTGTTAATGTATATACAGTAGTTCTGAGTGAATGATATTAGCTGCAATCCCATGATGACTACCTGTTCGTATACAGACCGTCCTCCAGACAGTGTGTGATTCCAACCTTCACTTCTAACGTTCCCCTCTCCTCTTTAACTACCTCCCACTCCTCATTCTACCTCCTCTCTGCCCCAGTTTCCAATTTATATGATTTGTTCTTCACTGTGGACCATATGTTGTTTTGTTCATTTTCAGGCATTATCCTTATTTATATTAATATGTATAACTTTTTTAGTTTTGTGATCTCTCCTCTCCTCTCCTCCGTTTTCTCCCTGCAGAAAGACAACGTATGAGGTTTGGGGATCCCAGCCCTGACAACATGTCTTCATGCCCTGACGATCACAGTTTGTCACCTCATGCTTTACTACCTCGTCTGTCTGCTTGTCCTGTCTCTGCTCTCAGGTCTGCAAATTATAGTTATGAGAAATGAAAGAGGAAGCATCTTTAAGCGATAGTGTGTGTTTCTGTCAGTGTGTGTGGACAATGAGATGAGAAAAACTACTAATATGTAAAGGTATATACAGTATCTGTAAGGCTGCTCATTCGATAAAACTGAAAGCTTTATAAAATACATTATCAGGAAAGACAGGAAAGGATGGAAAGATTGATTTTTGGGAGCTATACAGATATATATACATATAAAATGTACAACAACAACTATGGATAAAAACATAGCCATGATTGGTGTTAAAATCTCTTTTAACCAAAACTTCACAGACAGCATATTGTGCAGCTTGTATCATCTGTTTGATATTTTTAAGGTGTTGATCACTTGGTCTAGTTTTTTATCTTTTTATTAACTAGCTCATAATGGCAGATATTGTCAGAAATATATATAAATAACACAAGTATGGGAACACAACCAAGATATCAAAGACAGAGCGTCTCCAACCTTGAGTTTAGGAAGTCTCTTGATGGTCTTCAGTGGTCTCAGGACACGCAACACTCTCAGAGATTTGATGGTTTTAATGTCTCGTCCTTTGTTATTTCTGTACAGCAAAACAGAGAGGGTAAACATCACACACAGCAGCACAGTTAGTAACACATTTATAGACACCATCCACCTTATTCATCCATCTTTAAAGTAAGTGTAATATTCGACTTAAGTTACGAATTTTGCATGTTTGAAGATGCTAATATCTCTAAGAGAGGTAGACTATGGTGGCTTTTACCCCATCACATTGCTGCTGGTCATTCCCACAGGGGCACCATCCACAGACGAAGAAAAAACAGGAGAGAGGGACATGTATATCAACAGTTATAAACAAAATGGAAGCGATGAATACTCTGTGCCCAAACACATCAAATGAAACACTCATTTACAGTGTAAAAGCCAAAATACTGTTGATTTGTAGACACTTTGATGTTTGGACATATGATAAGTTAATGTGAATTTTCAAATTAAATCATGTGACTGACGTGAGGGCGAAGGCCACCAGTGCTCCCACCACAACGATGAAGTCTAGGATGTTCCACAGGTCTCTGAAGTAGGAGCCATCATGGAGGATCAGACCCTGGTCAATCATCTGAGGATAAGGCAAGGGTGTATAAAAAATGAAAAAAATCTCTATAGTTTCCTAGCATGGAGCCAACGTTGAACAGCTGTTTATTACTCTATTACTCCGCCACAAAGTGTCGCATGTCTGAGTGGTCACAAGATGATCGACAGCAGAGGAAAATGGATTTTTTTTTCCCTGCAACACAAAATAATGGATATTTTTTCCAGATTTTTTTTTTTTCTTGTAAATTACAAGCTACTTTTACTTTTTCGGAATTGTGAAAATTATTGAAATAAAACAAGAAAAGAAAATCACTCTTTAGATGAGCTTGTAGAAGTACAGTATGCAAATTGATGGACAAGTTAACCTAATCTTCATGTGGTCTCAACTGGTAGAGCGTGTACCACTTACGCTCAGTCCTTACCGCAGCGGCCAAAGGTTCGATACCTACCCATGGGCCTTTGCTGCATGTCATCCCCTCTCTCTCCCCAACTTTCCTGTCACTCTCTCACTGTCCCTATCTGAATAAAGCCAAAAACTTGGAAAAAAAAAAGAAGCAAACAGGAATGTACAGCTCAGTTTCTGTGGCTCCACAGTTTGGAGCTCAAAAAAGGTATATTTTCATGTTTTGCCACCATTTTTGTGCTCAGTCACCACACAGTGACACATCATTATTTTTACACAGTAAAAGTACTCACCTTTATAATCATTTCAAACGTGAAGACTCCAGTGAACACATAATCAAAATAACGCAGAACCTACAACAATCAAACAGGAAAAACAGAAAAACAAATAGGATGTAACACAAAAAAAAAATTGAAATTAGTTCTTCTTTAAAAGATGAAATAAATCATTCTTGTTGTTGATTTCATGGAGTCTGATTTTACTTCAGACTCTTAGCTTGTGGATTACTATGAAACAGTCCCCTTGAACGGTGGTAATACAACACAAGATAATCAGTCTCATTCCTCCCATAAACATCCAGGCTCAGTGTGCCTCAGGCTTCATTAGCCTCACTCATCAGCAATTTAATTGCCTCCCATCAAGTCACCTTAGTGGCCCTTTGCGAAACAATTTCAGCAATGCACTTAAAGAAATGTTTTCTTTTTTTTCCTTTATGGTTATTTTGCTTCTTGGCCTAGATGAAGCAGGCTACGAGACCCAAGGCGCAGATAAAGAGTGATTGAAATCATGTTCATGTCAGGAGTTAACAGATTGATTCAGGCAATGGTGAAACAACAGAAATATTCTTCTATCAAGTTATCAACGTTACAGCAGTGTCAGACAGATGATTTACTAGCTAAATGTGAAAACAAACCTTATTCCAGTCAGAGGAGGTAGCCACAGGGTCCTCAGCAGCTAGTGCTATACTACTAGCAGCTATAACCAGCAGAATGGACATTTCAAAGTACCTGAGGTTCACCACATAGTGACACGCTCGACGCACCCTGAGAGAGAGCAGATGGCAGAGTGAAGATGTGACCCAGGGGTCAGGTACCATGTCGTAAGAGTAACACTGTGCTGGCTTAAGCTGTCTGAAAGTTAATAGCAGCAGGAGCAAACTACATGGATGTTGTGCAAAAAAATGTCAACTACAAAGACTAAACTCTGAACATGTTGAAAATGTTCCAGAGGTAGCAATTTATTCCCAGTACATGTGATGTTTGAAGTATTCTGTCATCACTACAATATTCTGAGCAAATTTACACATAAAGACTCCACGCTGCTGCAAGGATTCTTGTGAGAAGTCTGCTCCAATGGGAGAAGTAGTGAAAACTTTTTCCTGTGAGAAGTGGTAGAAACTTACGGGTTATCAGGTTTGAAGATGAACATGCTGTTTGGAGTCACAGTGTTGACAGAATTTGTCTCCTCTGCCTCCTCCTTCTCTGATTTACAGGTTTCTGGGTCCTTACTGTTGACTAGAGAAGGTCAGGAGAAGGAGAAGGAGAAGGAGAAGTCGTATCATACATTTCCCACTAGGATAGTCTGAGAAGACGATACAAAGAAGATTTAAATCTGGAAACCAGTGAGGATCGACAGAGTTGAGCAGCGGTGAGCTGAATCAAAGGAACTGTGGGGACTAGCATAGATGGTGACATGACTCAACGCTTCCCAAAATGCCTGAACTCTGGAGGCTACAATTTAAACTAGCTGTTATTGACCTAAGATGAACATGACTCTGCAAATGAATGGGTTATTTCCCATCACAGACTTATTCAGAACCAAACATTGCTCAAGACTTTAGGAGAAATTTGACATTTCCAGCGGTGTCTTCCTCCAATGAGATGTGGGAGGAGCTCACACTGATGAGCACTTGTGGATCATCTATACCACTTTTTTTGAAATTAAACCCTGTCCCAATTAAGTGTAAAAGGGAAGAATAAGGGTAGTAATGTCATGAGTCATGAAAAACCAAATACAAAAAAAAAATCTAATCAGCACCTGAAAACCATGAAAATTGCGCCAATACCTGTGATCGTAGAGAGCTCCAGACATGACTGAACATTGGGCACCTCGATGATCACACTGGAGCTGAGTTGAGATTTGTCCTGGTCCTGCTCTGTCTCTTTCTCTTCTTTGTCGTCCTCTGGGATGGCAAGTGGGGAAGTGTCTGATTGCTGAAGAAGCTCTTCCTGCTTCTGAGGACACTGGTCACCAGTTTGGCTCTGGTTGTCTGGTGGGTTTGTGTCCCCTCCTTCCTTCTGGTCGCCCTGTCTGTAGATGCAGAGAGAGACACATTACTGGAAAGGCAAGGTGGGCAGTGATTTATCTACAGTACAGTACAGTACAGTACAGTACAAGTGCTGTTGGGTGGGAAATCCATAGGCCCCAAAGCCAGATCTGGTTTGCGCAGTGCCAGGTCTGTAAGGGCATATAACTGCAGTGACCATATAACTGCAATGTCCCAAGGATCGAGTCCGGCTGGGGGCCTTTGTTAAATGTCACCGCCCCTTTCCCCTTCCCCTGTCACCTCTCTTCTAATGCTATGAAATAGAAAAAATGCAAAAAGTGATGTCTGTATTTTGTTACATAACATCCCCAGGTCACAGCCAGGTCACTGAAAATCACTGGCATTAAACATAGAAATGTGACATCCTGGGATTATTCTGACCCCGGACCTTTGCTGCATCTCATTCCCCTCTCTTCTCCAAATCATTTCTGTCTCTGTTGACTTTATGTTTATGTTTATCAAAGGTGAAACATACTGCCACACAAACATCTCTACTAAAAAACAAGCTGGATGAACAGCTGTTTTTATCTCACCTGCTCTCCACAGCTCTGGACACCTCCTCCTCCTTTTTGGTCTCCACTTCCTTCTCCTCTACTTTCCCTGGGTTTCTCTTCCTTTCTCTGCTGACCGAGCGACTTGCCAAGTGGCTTCCGTTCCCGGGAGATGACCCCTGACTCCTGGCCCCGCTTTGATGGTCATATTGATGCAACGCCCTCCTGTCCCTGATCCCGCCAAGACCTCCCATCTCAGGAGTCAGCGTGTCAATGATATCTGGTGGTCTGAACTTCTTCACTGCCCTATGTTGGCGATCGCCATTCAATCTAGGGCTCCGACGCTCGCTGGCAGTGTTGTGACTTTGATTAACACCCAGTTTTCTACTCTCAGAGACAGGCTCTGATTCGGGAGGCTCTGGCATGGTCATAGACACAGAAGCATCAGGAAGAGGCACGTTTGTGGGATCCAGTGACTCTGGCATCGGGGGTTCAGGTATGTCACCAGAGAGGGCGGCGCCCAGCGGCATATCCACAGAACCTGAAGCCTGGTTCTTGGCGGGGGAGGCTAATGGGTCTGTCAGGTGCTTCAAACTCCCGGATGGCGTGTTCTGCATGGCCTTGCGGTGCAGCGACACTGGACGTCCATGCTGGGCCTGGGCTGAAGCAGGAGGCCCGTCCTTCTCCTCGTTGGGGCTGTTGAACAGGATCTCTCGGCTGGACATCTGGCGGTGTCTCCGCAGCTGGCTGGTCCTCTGCTCCCACACTGACATGGTCATCCTTTTTCTTCTCTCTCCCCTGGACATGAAAGAGTTAGAGGGGTTGAGTGGTGGGGGTGGGCGGCCCTCCCTGACGCTGCCCTGCGCCTCCTCCAGGGAGCAGGAGTAGGTAGGCCGGCTGCGGTGGATGGCTCTTTTCCTGTACAGGTAGGGCCGCCTCCTACGGCTTCCCCTGAGAAGAGAAGGACAAGGCAAGATGTCAATATCTGGAAGCAGACAACTTTTATACATACATACACTATTTTCATTTTAACTTTTATTGTTATTTATTGATCGAGGCACGAAATGATTTTGTTTGCATGCTGTGTCAGCACTAAAAGGCAGATTTGATTCAAAGCAGATTCCAAATGTGCGTTGATGGACTCTCTAGGTTCCCTTTTTCTCTAATGAAACAAAAAGTAGTTTTATGTAAATTAGAAATCAAAACATATGTACCAAAAAATTAACATCACAGTGCATTGCAAATGCTTTGGTCTGATATTTGAGCACCTTCTTAACAGTAAAGAGCTATTTCATTTCAACATGAAGCAATTTACTGGATCGATGACAATGTTAGGTGATAAATTAACCAAGCCAGGGATTGTTGTGTGACTTTGATAACAAAAAGAGTAAGATGCAGAATGAAATCAGTGGTGAAGATATAAAAAAAAAAATAGTCAAATAAGGTTGGAGAGTTTGGAAGTACAGGACAGAGCATGAACAGAATGCTATACAGGATGAGTCTGGGACATTTACCCATTTATGAAAATCAGGCAGGCGTTAGTAAGAGATTCAGAGAGCTGAACAGACAGTGTTACTTACTGGAGCGTGGACTCTTGTGTGGTCCGTGTTATCAATGAGCGATTGGTTGAAAACAAGACATTAGTGCTTTTGTGAGCAGAGACAAAACAGGCCAGGAGACACACAGCAAACGATCCTCAAAGATCATAAACTGGCCTTTCACACAAAGACCAACAACAACATAGATTGTTAATGCCGTTTAGCAGCTGTTCTATATTCGTTATTCATCGCTTAAGGGTAAAACTGCTCTTTTAGAATACTACACACACAGTTGAATTATTAATTTCATATCTAACTGCTACATCATGCAGTCTGTTTTCGACAGAATAATTTCCATTGCAAACATCCGTCCTTTAAACGTTTATAATGAATAAAGGATAAATTTGGACTGGACTCCTGATGTTTTGGTGTGTGTCTCCATTGGAGCCAAGCGGCACATTGACAAACAAGATGGTAGCAGTATTAGAAACAATTAAACAACATTCATAAACATCAACAGTAAGCGCAACATTGATAAGAAGACATCTTTAATAGATTAGACAGTCTGAGCTACAGTATGGGCACAGGTAGAAAACACAGAGATGGGCTCCATCAGCAAACACAGGGAAAGAGTACATATTTAAATACCCTTTGAACAAAACCATCACATTGGGATGCAGCTCTGAACATCACTGCCACCTCAGAGCACTCACACGTTTGCATTCTTTCAGGACATGCTGGTAGAGCCAAACGAGGAAATTCATGTGCGGAGCTTCAATATATTAGGTTAAATATTCAGACTACTCAAGAGCACTTGGGTGCGGGATTAAAGACTTCAGAGTGGAAGAAAAACTGTACACACACTGAAAACACTATCCAAATATTGCAGTCCCATTATCATTTGTTGTATTGTACATGAAGAGAATTCTCAGTGAGTGTGTGTGTGTGTGTAATTTCTGTTTTTCTTCCTTTGATCATGCTGACCAGACGCATGCCTTCCCAAGATGAAATTATCATCAGGCTCCAACATGCTGCATCTCTCTTTTTTTATTGAGCAAATGCTGTCATGCAAGTTTCTTCAGGGTCAGCAGGGGCAGTTACTGCCAGGGTTTCTTAGCTGACATCAGAGTTGAGACCAGAAACCCTTAAAGTTCAGAGTGTCCTTTCTGAATACAGATGCCGGCCCTGACGACCCCATGGTATTCCAGTCCTCTCTATGGGCTCTGACAAGGGCCTGACCCTCAGCTGGCTCAACTGACACTAATGCATATCTCTACTTTTATTTCTGTTTTGCTTTAATTTAATTTCCGTTGAGTAAAGTTTATGAAAATGGCAAGGCCTCAAAAAAGAAGGAAAGAAAGACAGAAGGACAGAAAGAAGAAGGTACATAATTTAATGTTAATAAAACGTTATCTTGTGAAATTTTCCACATGCCCATGCAACAAACTGCTTGTTTGTCCATACACAGCGTGCATACTGAGCCAGAGGTCCCCACTCCTGTGCATGCACATGCACTTCCACCACCTATGACAAGGCACTGTGCAATCAATCCCTGAGAAAAAAAACCCCAATCTATTTTGCAAGCAGGAAACCTGGGCATTGAGAAAACAAGGTCGCGTTACTTTATGAATTAAAGTGAGAGCACTTCAACAGATCAAAGCCTGCGCACACTTATTTCACTTCCTTACACTCTCTCCTAGTCACAACTTTCACTTTGCTGAGTACAGAAGTATATTACTGTAATGGACACACCATGTTAATTTGGACACTGAGTAACCCTATCTCCATGACAACAATATAAGCACCTCCCAACCCGGTGTGGAACCAGTAACCATGGAGACATGGACTTCAATTTGGAGAAAATTACAGTGGTGGGAGCAGGCGGAGGTTAGTTAGTAGACCTTTCAGTAAAGACGTATCAATAAGTCTCTAGCGGGACAGCACCAAATACTGATTCTCTAAACAGGCTCCAAGTCACATTTAAGTGCTACAAACCAGCACTTACACAGCAGCACAACTTGAGGCTCTGTATTGATGACCCTTAGCTTCCCGCTATAACTGTTCTGCATTATTAGTAATCCGAATCTACTGCACCAAATGATAGACTCGCCATTTACTGCAGGCTACAGCAACTCATGCAAAGTGTTGGCACTGTGGGTTAGTCCTATATAGACACTCCCTGGAGGAAGGAAGGAAGGAGGGAGGGAGAGGAGGAGAGAGACAGAGGGAGGAGATAAGAGGTCAGGCAGGAAGAGCGGTTGCATACAGCACTTACTCTGAAGACATGAAGGAGGACAATGGTCCGACCTCCTTCGCCTTTTGGAGAGCGTGCTTCTGGTTGAACGCCGCCTCTGCTTCCTCTTCATCCTGATCAAAAGAGGAAAAGAGGAAAAGGCAGCTGAACAGCTGTAGCATCTGAGTTTAAATAATTAAACAGAACTTAAGTGAAAGGAGGAAAGAGCAGAACTGGACATGACAGAGTGGAGAGATTATTAAAACTATTTAGCATTAAGTAACAGGTTCTTGCAAGAATAAAAGCAGGCAAGACCAGCCTTGTTCTTTCAGTTAAGGCTTTTTTGTTATTCACTTTTTTATTACCTTAGTAAGTTCTTGTGCATTGGCAAGATTATCCACAGCAATGGCCAAGAAGACATTCAGCAGAGTGTCTGGTCACACCTGTGTTAAGGACTGACACAACACTGACTCCTTGTTCAGAGACAGATAATGGTACTAGTGTTGGAGATTCCACTTATAATCACAACCCAGACTGCACCTCTGCAGCTCAGTTGGTCTGTGTGATGTAACCCAAGTATAAAATCAGATCACAGGCAGCCACGTTTAGCTCTCAACCTCACACAAGCAGACTGTGTGGTAGGTTACCTGTTTGGCATGAAATGGCTGGTGAAGTACCTCAAACATTGTGCAAACCAAGAGATCCAGATACCTTTCTCTTAAATTGGTGGATGAAACCTGGGCTGAAAGATCAGAGACAAATGGGATTAAATTCAACAGGTGTCCAGCAACATAACTACTTCAGGTGTGTTGAGTTATCCCGGTGACGCTTGATTTTCCCATATTTTCTACCTAATTTCCTGAAAACTCTCCTTATAATTTCCTAAACATTTACCGGCACTTAGCTGTTAATTACTGGAATATTTCCAATTGAGGTCTATATAGTTTGGTACACACTGTAAGGGAAATGGAGAAAGTGTTGTTACTCTTTCTAGGAAAGTGATGGATACTGAAATCTACTTATGAACTATTCACTTTCCTTCTACAAATTTCTTGTTTTTACTGAAAAACCTGAATATAACGAGCAGGTACTTAATAACTGTAGAATAAAAACATATCCTTGAAATTTACAACTAAATACCAGGAAAGTTTCCAGGAAATTAACTGGAAAATATGGGACTTAGAATAAATCAGCATTACAAGTCTCCACACCTTACTCCACAATAACAAAGAAAGAGACAACTGTAAAGGGAAAATTGCAAAAACATTTACTAAATACAAAATAATCTACGTTACACAATGAAAAGAAAGCAAAGAGTGATGAAGGATACAATTTCCAAACAATGTGAGCACTATAAAGTAGATGGAGGACCACATGCCAGACTTCACTCCACCTTGAGAGCGAATACCGTTGTACATAACTTCATTCCAGTCCTCTCCAGTCAGGATCTGAGAAAACACATCCACAATCACACAGAATATCATCTATAAAACTAGTCAGAGCATAACTGCTGAGGTTAGCTATAAACTCCATATTTGCTAAAATGCTGTTACACTAAAAATTGATAATTCTGGTACATTGTGATTCACTGTAATGAAGGTGTGTGAAGTAGAGAGCAATAAATTGTCAGGTTTATTTCCAGACCTGAAAGACGGTCATAATGGCTGCAGGAAAGGTGTCAAAGTTTGTCGGGGTGTAGTCTTTAAAGATGAACCTGTGAAAAAGATGTGACACATACGGTCTTTAAAAAGAAATCTGGGTCTAGTATTTATTTTATTTTTTCAGTCAGAGAAAATCAATCCTCCTCCTCTCTGACTGGCTGGCTGATGGAGCTAGAGTTTTTTCTTTCTGTGTGTTCTGTATTCTAGAGGGCAGTTCATACACAAGGCCATGCTTGTCTAACTCAGCCAGCCTTTACTGAAGTGACAGCTTGTGGAAAACGGCCTTCGACTTGAGGGAAAACCAAGCAACAATGGCTGTGTGACAAAGGCACAAGAGCCTCAACTCTCTACAGAGCTCACACAGTGTCTTGGTATAATGAAAACAACTGTGAACCATAGGGCAATCTATTCTTTTTTCTACTGTGTGTATTCAATAAAGAGTAATCTACTGATCCATGATGTCTACTTCAGCCTTGTTTTTTTTTTATTTGTGAATGTGTATTTACTGGAACCACAGGACATGTCTACCCAGCCGAGTGGGAGAAAACAGTCTCTATTTTAAGCCAGATTGATTAGATTCCTGTCTCTGCCTGGCTAGTTCGTCGCCTTACTCAATTTCTTTATGAACACATAAGGCATGATGCACAGAGCTATAAGCACTAGCATTTATTCGGATGATTGCTCATGAGTTTTTATTGTTACCTGCCACCGAAGAGCTGCATGCCAAGCAGTGCAAAGACAACGATGAAGAGGAAGAGAAGGAAAATGAGGGAGATGATGGACTTCATGGAGTTCATCAGGGAGACGACCAGGTTTCTCAGAGACGCCCAATACCTTGACAGTCACAAAATGCCATGTTAGTGGAAAAAAGAAAGTGAAGTGAAAAGTGAATAATTCTGTTACTGTAATCCATGATATATAGTTTCAACCCCAACAGTAAGAGTAAAAGCATTTCACTTTCAAGCATTTCACCTTCTTTTTGGAAGCAATATGAATGTCATGGGTATACAGATCTTGCCATGCGTATCTTCGGTTTGAATTTGTTTTGTGTCTGGGGGGAGTTTGCAATGGGTTGTTTCCTATGTAAATATTTTTTTAATGAATGAATCTCCAGCAAAACTCAGTGTTAATTTTACATATGGAAAACTGCATATGACACCGACATGTCAAACTTTAATATCATTTTTCTGTCAAAAGCTTTCTGTCAACTGTGAAATATTCCGTGTAAACATTTGAACAGATGGCAAAGGGTGAGGAAGAGACCAACTTGGTGATCTTGAAGATCCTCAGCAGACGGAGAGCACGCAGGACACTGATGCCAAAGGAAGTCCCAGGCCTGAAGAAACCCCACAGCACTTCAAATATGCTGCCAACAATTACCTAAAGAGATATAACAAACCGATGCATACCAACAGTTATGACAAGGTGACGAAGAGGAGAGAAAGAGAATGAGACAAAAATTATGCAACAGACACAGACAGAGGAAATGAAGGCTAATGCTGCATAATTTGAGTACACAAGTTGAATATTGGGAGAAACAGATGTGTAGAGAGGGAGGCAGAGTACTGACACTGCAGTCAAAGCAGTTAAAGGAGGAGTGGAAGTAGAGGCGTGGTCCCAAGCTGTACATCTTCAGGAACATCTCAGTCAGGAACAGAGCGAGGAACAGGAACTCTGCATAGTCTGGAACAGAAACAAAAAGAGGAATTTATATTGTTAATCATACATATATGATTGCAATTATACGATAAAGCAATGATTTCGACATTCGTTATTCGACAGCTGTTACAGAGTGGACAACAAAGGTGTATCAACTGCCTGAGCACTTCTCATATTCCAAGCTGGTACATAAATGAAGTGTGACTCACAGAGGAAGTTGGACAGCCAGAGGGGCTGGTTGTGGTGAACAATGGCCACACACAGCGTGTTGAGGGCGACTAGGCCGAGCACTGTCCAGTAGAAAGTGTGTGTCTTCACCACGCGGCGGATGGAGATGCGGAGGAGACGCTCCTTCCGGCGAAAATAGGCTGTAGGACCCCGCTTGGCACTCCTGATACTTGCTCTTGCCATTGGGATGCCTTCGGGGAGAATGGGGAGGTAAAGTGAAATTGTGTTCTAACAGTACTTCTACAACATGTTCCCACTCTGAATCTTGAACTGTGCTGATGTTTACATCAGTATTAACTATGCAATGGAGTATGCCTTACCGTTTATGTGCCCATATTTACGAGCCTGTTCAGACTCCCACTCACCCACAGAGGAGATGTCACCATATTGTTCCTCCCCTGGTTGCCCTCGACACACCACATCCATGCCTCTCCTCTTGATGGTGGTGGCTCTCTTCAACACTGTGGACAAAGCATGATGAACATAAAAGGTAGCAGAACAAGCTGCTCTGACAGTGTGACTCTTATATTCTGTGAAATTAGAGGGAACACACTGTGAGGGCAGTGACACAAGGACAAGTTTTGGGCAACACTGTTCAAGTGCTTAGTATTTTGGCCTTGAAGACATCATGTTGAATCACTGAATAGATTTTTTGTGGTTTTACGTCAACATGGCCCAAAAAACTGCGCTGTGTATGATCACCCTTACATTTTTAAGACATCCCTAGGTAGACTCAGGTAATATGCAAGTGTGGAATCTGATAATGAGATGAAAAGATGATGATGAGGAGCCTCTGCATGAAAAGCTCATGCTTGTGAAGTCTTAGCTGAAAGGGAAAGTTGAGCTCATTAATGCTGCAGTTGAATGAGACACAAATGATAATTTAATGTTAGTGTAATGATCCAAACAACTCAGTGCAAACCTTCTGCTGCTATTTTATGATCACCATGATGGCAAACCATGCTCGGAGGCGACTTGACGGTCCATGCATCTCTTATATTTGAGCCGTGTACAAGTGCTGCCACACAGTGACAAGCCGTGGGGACAGTGTCCCCAGGGGACGCGCCGTGCAGTGTGTACATGCCGAGGTGAGTATGATGAGTGTGTTTTGAACTTTTCACTGACAGATGTGTTTATGATTACCTTTCAACCTATCCCTCTCACACATTCCCACTACCTTGTGATTTCTGAATCTACATGTCGTCAATATTTGCTTGAGGACTTTTTTAATAAGACACTGATCAAACACACGCACAAACACACAGAGATACATAAAAATATGGCTGCCATTCCACACACACAGGAGTGTTTGCTAAAGGCAGGGACACCAAGTCCTGTCAACACACACACACGTATACAGACACATACAACAAACACATGCATGCTGCTGCCTTTTCAGACAAGAGGTTGCTAAGGCAACCACAGTGCGCCACCTCTCTTTTTAGTCAAAGCTATCAGAGCTTCTGCATTTATTTCCATCACAACTGAAGCCATTGTCTGTTTTTATTATATAGTTACATCATTTATCTTATTTTTACCTTCTACTAGAGTCTTTGTAATTCAAGTGACAGAAACATACTGAACAAGGATTTGCTTTCCTTTCTCTATGTCAAAAGTGTTTGTATGTGTGCATTTGAGTGGCAGCGTGTGTGGCAAATGGAGTGTGAAGTTGGTGAGGGAGAGAGCAGAGCAGAGGACGGTTCTCACCATAGGCACCACCTGTACTCCACTCTGGCAGCCTCCTGAGAGCTGCCAATCAATCAACATTTAATAAAAGCCCTGCTGGTTTAGCGAGGAGGAAAGGTCAAAGTAGAGTTGAGAGGGTCAGAGCAGGTACTTAGCTGTCTGTGAGGCACCGAGCCTAGTGGCAGATTTAGTGTTATCAGTGCTAATGCTCTCTATGTGGCATTGAGATTTGTAGAGTGAGTTGTAATGGTGATCTGTGTAAATGAACCATGGCAGCAACAGAATGGGCAGCTCACAACCTGAGTACCTGATATTTTGCAAAAGGGGGCCACTTAAAACTTTTTTTTTCAATTTTTTCCAGCTCAGCTGCTCAGAAATTTAACAAGACCAGGAGTCTACAGCCATGCTAGTGGCTCTGTTAGGCTTTATATATAGGCACAATGGTGCTCACATCAGCATGCTAACATACTCACAATGACAATACTACAGTAAGATTCATGACAGCACAGCCTGACACTCACAGCAGGGCATAACATTAAATCATAATATAATTTTCATTGATACTGGATTTCCATAGGCTCACCCAACTTTTGGCACATTTCACTATGTGTATTGATACCTATATGCTGATCTCAAACTGTTATAATAATAATAATAATAATATGTTCACCATCTTACACCTTCAGTATATTATTGTATAATTTTGACCTGATGATGGTACTAAATGAAAAGTCAGGGGATCACCAAAGTTGTGGCTGTACTTAGGCATAGCAGTGCTTTCAGATGCTTTTGAGCTAAATGCTAACTCAGCATGCTAATATACTCACAATGACAACATTACCATGGTCACTGTTTTAATTTTGTGTTTGCATGCTAATATTAGCTTCTTATCTCTAAACAAAAAGTGCAGCTGAGGCTAATGGGAATGTCATCAATTTGGTCATAAAGTATTGGACAAATTAAAATTCTGACCTGATGGTAGCACTTGATGAAAACACAAGGTCACCAAAGTGATTAGGATTCATCCTGCTGGAAACATTAATGTCTGTGTCAAATGTCATTGTAATGCATCCAATAGTTGTTGAGACATTGTACTCAAAATAACAAATGTGAACCTCCTGGCCTCCATGGCAATCCACTGACTGGTGGTTGAGATATTTCAGTCTGGACTGACGAACCTAACGACACTGCCGTCTCAAACTGATCAATTAGATCAAAATGTAATTCAACTTCAGTGAAATTTTTGTTTTATGTCTTTAACTGTATTGTAAATAAGTTGTGTTTTGACCCCACACAATCACAGACAAATAAGCAACACATACTCATATAGCATATGCCTGAATAGTCTTTATAAAGCACATTTAACAGCTTAAAATTGAGACAGAATGTGAAGCAATGTGAGGGGAGCAGAAAGACAATGTACACAATATAATTAAACAAAACCAAACTTTCTTACCATCAAGGGCAGAAGGTCCTGCATTCTTATTCTCCTCAGCAAGCATCACCTCTTCTGGAAAGCAAAAAGTCAAAGTATGATCAGAAATGAGCGGGACAGCAGCATGGAAAGAGATATACTGGCATGTCTGGTAACTGTATTTGTAGCTCAGTTGTGGCAAAAGATAGTCCTTTGTTCCATAATTGACAGGATTAGTCATAAAGTTTATAGTGAAAACACTGATTTTCCGTTTCTTATCAAGAGCCAAATTATTCTCCCCTGAGCTGTACTTAACTAAACTAAACTAAAACCACCTGCTCTGTCGATCCAGGCCCGATAGCCGTTGAGCTCTCTCTCAATTTGCTGTTGACGTCTCAGTTTCATGAAGGCCCTGCGGTTTTCCACTCTCTCTCTCTCCTTGGCAAATTCCCTGCAGAAACAACCCAAACCGCAGTATCTTTTATTTACTCTTTGAGGGATCAGGAGTTTGTGTTCAGGGGGATGGAGAGGAGAGGAGAGGAGAGGAGAGGAGAGGAGATAATGCCAATGGATCGACCATTAACCTTTTCAAAAAAATGTTAACTTGTGCAGGCTTTGACACCATGTACTGAAAAAACACGTTTTTGCTTAGCAGTAGCTTCTGCCCCATCCACTCTCCAAGTCAGTGTAAAAGCCAGTTACAATGTGTTGTCTGTCTTACAGATTAGCTTGCCATAACGTAAATCAACAGGAGTATAAAACCAGCTACACTGTATACCTGTAGCCCATTTCATAGGATACCTCCTTCAAAGGATGTGGCCTTTTGGTGTAGTCTTTGAAGGACCTGAAACCTGGGCTAAACCTGTGGCCACTCTATAAAAGACTCACAGAGACCAAAAGGAATGGTGCAGTTGAGCGGTCCTTAGTTAAGTCAATCCTCTTTGTCATCTGTTGGACTTAAGGCCACAATGAGCTCCCTCAGTGCACAGATCTTTGTAGTTTCAGTAACAAAAATTTCTTGTAAATGGAGGCATTGCTAGCACCACGTCCAACCCTATAATCTGGAGTGTTTTTAAATTTGTAATGGTGCCCACATCAATATACTATAACGTCCAATCATCTGCAATGCTTTAGGCAGTGATATACAACATGTGCAGGATGTTTATAAAACAATTTTCTATTCTTTGACAAGCCACACAAAGTGAGGTGCAGACTACCGAGAGCTTCAATGCAAGTCCATCAAACTTATAAAACATGTCTCACAGTCTCACTCTTTCTTTATTCACCAAATGTTTTAGGCTATCTTGCCCTAATCAGGCTGGTGTCTAAAGTTCTTTCACGATTCCTTATATACAGATGACCCAATGAATAAAGCAATGAATTCTAATAATAATAGAAGGGTTCTTCGTTGTGATTTTGTCTATGACAGGCTGACAAGAACAACAAAACAGAGGCATTTATCCTTTGGTACCTTTAATTACATTCTACAGCAAGTTTTTTTTACTGATACTGATCATGCTGTGTATTTAACAGTGACTGATGACCACACTAATACCTTGTTAATATGATGTGACAGTATGATTTATGCCAACTTCATAAGTGGACAAAGACGACCTGAATGCACCATTTAATCACTGACCATGATGCAATGGACTGCAACGGCAAATAAGGAGCACCAAGGACATGCAACAGGCTGCACTTCTGAGACACAAATAGGCAGCTGCCCCTTAACTGAGACATAGTTTAAGTCTGTCTGGCAATCAGGGGCTGAAAACTTGATGAGTTTAAACTGAACTTGGATTGAACTTGTACTAAAGAGTGAACCTACCCAGAGAGGACTCCCAGCACCAGGTTCAGGACAAAAAAAGAGCCGATGATGATGAGAGGGATGAAGTAGAGCCAGTTCCAGCTGGGGCCCAAGGCATCGTCGGTCTGAAACATCAAAAAAAGTTTTAAACTCAGTAAAATCAAATCAGGCGGGAGCAGACTCGACTCATGCTGCCATTGGGATACAAGACAGAAATACACAAGTGTAGGTGTTTGGGTGGCTGCTGAAGGTTCGAGCCTGAGTGCAGGCAGGGCTTCGAACAGAGACATCATGTGTATTGATCTGCTCCGGCCTCGCAGAGAGAGTGTGGAGGAGAGTGGAGGTATTCTGTGAACAACTAGTGTATGAAGCCAATATAGAACCACTGTGCTACATCTCTACTTTAAAGTACCTGGACTTGAGAAAGTATACATGGTGAGTGTTTTTTCCAGGATATTCATGTGCACATAAACAAATTCATGCCTGCAAAAAAGTGTTTTTTTTTTAGTATATGTGCTTATACTGTAGATGCACTTTGTGTTTTGAATGTTGATTAAACTGACTACAGTAATTATTACAGGCAGCCTGTATGGTCAGCAGCACATTAGCAGCAGGTCGTCTGTCTCTTTCCTTCGTCCCTCTTCGTTTATCGTAGAGCTCATTTAGCATCACTTTAGACAACATAATACAATCATTCAGGCAAATCCTCTGCCTTCATCCATCTCAATAAAAACTGAAAGAGCAGGCAGCTGACCACAAAGTACACCCTGGCTCAGCACTTTGTGTGTTTGAGTGTGTGCATCTGGTTGTTGCTTTACTAACATCTGAGGTAAAAAAAAAAAAAAACTAGAAAAAAAACAGAGAAAATTCCTTTGGGTTTCTGCTCCATGTTGACATGACTGCATCACACCATTTCTGATTTGTCAGCTGTACATTCATGCTGCCAATCTCCCATTCTACCACATCCCAAATGTGTTCTATTGGATTCACATGTGGTGACTGGGGTGGCCACTGAAGTTCACTGAACTCATAGTCATGTTCACGAAACCAGCTTGAGATGACTTTTGCTTAGTTACATGGAGCATTACCATGCTGGGAGTAGCCATTAGAAAATGGTAAATTTTGGCCATAGAGGGATTCATATGGAAAGCAAGAATACTCAGATAAGTTGTAGCACTCAAACCATGATTGATTGGTATTAAGGGGACCAAAGTGTGCCAAGAAAACAACAAACAACAACCACCAGCCTGGACTATTGCAACAAGGTAGCATTGTGGAGTGAAACTGATGTGGTCTTCTGCTGTTGTAGCCCATCTACCTCAAGGTTTGACATGTGCTTTCTGAGATGCTTTTCTGCTCACTACAGTTGTAAATCATGGTTATCTGAGTAACCATAGCCTTTCTGTCAGCTCCAACCAGTCTGCCCGTTCTCCTCTGACCTCTATCATCAACAAGGTGTTTCTGTCCACAGAACTGCTGCTGCTCACTGGATGTTTTTTGTTTTAGGCAACATTCTGAGTAAAAACTATGGAGACTGTTGTGTGTCAACCCAGCCTGTCTGGCACCAACAATCATGTCACAGTCAAAATCACTCAGATCACTTTTCTTTCTCCTCATTCTGATGTTAGATGTGAAATTAACTGAAACTTCTGATCTGTATCTGCATGATTTTATGCAATACACTGCTGCCACATGATTGGCTGATTGAATAATTGCATGAAGAAGCATGGGTACAGGTGTTCCTATTAAAGTGTTCAGTGAGTATCCACGCATACTGACACTTTTCTAAAGTGTGCAGAGCCACATGACCAGGATGATCATTTTTCTTTTTGTAATTAGCTGTTCTCATGGCTTGTTATAGTGAACAGGATCTTCTAATTCTGCTCTGCTGCAAGCAGAGGTGAACATGATTGGACTTGATTTGTTGAATGGTCATACAGGCAACAGCTATATCAAATTAGCAAATGGTGCCACTGCCTGCCTTTCTGTCTACATACTGTCTGAGTGCGTCTGCCCGCCTGCTCCTTTCACTCTGACATTGCCTGTGAAGAATGGTGCAGCATTTCATCCCTGTCTGACAGTTACTCTACAGCTGAAAATGTCATTAGTACTGGTCTCAATGCTCATTACTTGAACATGTCTCTGAGATGCAATATGATACATAGTGCTTTCCTGTTTACTTTTGTACCATTTGGGGATTTAAAAATGTTCATATACATATATACATATATACATATACATATTTTCAACCTACTCATCATGCTCATATTCATACATAGCAGAGGTTTACAAAGTCATTAATTCTAGATTACATTTCTAAGAGATACTTAAGTGTGCCATATTTCATAGCTAGTAGGCGGGCAGTCTAATCTCTATTCAGGCCTTGCCGCATGTTCCAAGAGGTTATACATTTCTCAAGGCTGAGGGAATAAAAATGGCAAACTGAGAGCAAAACAGGAATCAACATAGCACTCTGCAGTTTCAAGCCTGAGAGACCAGGATGCAGGGGTTGCAGACATCCACTCAGCAACCATCAGTGTGCTGGAGCCAAAGCTGCTTCTGTTCATTAGGGTTAATTGAGTCTAAATTGAAACAAAACACTGCTGCACCTCAATAATTTGCAGCAATCCAGAAAAATATTGTGAGTGGCACACGTGTATGTGCATGTGCATGTGAGCTGTCTTACATTGTAGAGTACAGTGGTCCATCCCTCCATGGTGATGCACTGGAAGACAGTGAGAACAGCAAACAGGATGTTGTCGAACTGGGTGATGCCTTCATTTGGCCCAATCCAGGTATCATTGCAAGTGTATTTGGCTGGACACTGACGCACGCCACACGGGAACTCAAACTCAGAGGAGTCCACCGTCTCGTTTTCTGTCATACATAAGACCAAAGTTCCATAAGTCAGACAACAAACGTCCCATGTCCAATGCATTGCAATGTTCTCTGGCGTCAAAAAGTTACTAGCATAGTGATCACTGTCATTTGAAGGCAATCATGGATTTAACATCTTTCAAATAGAATCTGCAAATATAATATCTAGTGGTCGTTTAGCTTGAGTACACAAAGTTTAAACCAATCTTTGTACCCAGTGAGCAATGATGCCCGTTATTACTGCTCGTCATTTCACTTGTGTGACAGTGAATTCTTCTCTCACAGACGTCTTATTGGTTAAATCTTCAATAAAGTCACATCTCAGAGTGTACAGCAAGAATGACTTAGACCATAGGTATAGCACCATAGGAATAAATTAAAAAAAACTCTCCATCAAACAATGGAAGAGGAGAGTACCTGTTTGAACAGTAACGTGACCATCCACTGACAGAAAATACTCACATCAGTCTGTCTGTGTTATCTAACTGTCCATTCAGCTTCAGTGTCACAGCTCGGAGGTTAATGACAGCTGTGAATGTACAATGAGCTATTGTGGCGCAAAGCATTTGTTGGATTTAATTATACAGGATTTAATTATATAGGACAACACTGCAAACTGTTTGGTTTGATCAAGTCTCCAGGTGCAGCCTGGCATGCCATTGTGAGTACGCATGTGTGTATGCATTTGTGATTATGACAATAGAGCTTTTTCCTAAAGAGCTATGTAAATATACATGACATAAAGCCACACATAAACGTACAGTGAACAATAACACCAGTAACTGAGTGAGCTCAGTCCTGTCTCTTTGATTTTATGCTCCGTGACTCAGTTTGTTTTCAAAAATAGTTCTTAAAATATTCTTTTATTGGTTCACATTTATGCATTATTCACAAACATGTCAGGTCCTTTCTACAAATTGTTCTCTTTTGTTTCATCCATGCCATCAGTGTGTGGTAGAGGTGTTGAGACAATTTCCTGTTTTCTAATGCAATTCAAATTAGATCTTGGCTTAGGATGAATAAAAACATTTGAATAACAGTAATAACAGGATGTCACTATTGGCTCCAATCACAAATAGAGTAGTGTAAAAAATTGTGTACTTGTATGTGCATGTGTGTCTAAATACACTTAACAGACTCACTGAGTACAATAATTATGTTTCTATCTCCTCATCTCGCTGTCTGTGTGAAACGTGGATGGGAATATCTGTCCATGTGTGTGTATGTGTATTTACTTTGTCTACATATGTAGAGCACAGAAAGCTTCTTAAAACTGAGAGCATGAACTATTGTAGTCAAAGTGGTTATAGTCATTGGTCAATTTGTATGAATGAGTTCAAATATGTAAAGATATATATAAGATAGATACAAATACTGTGCATACTGAATAAATATGCACCACTATGCATATACTGCATCATGTAATATGTTTTCATTGCTGTGTGTAACAGTGTGTACCTGTATACTATAGAGATAAACTATGAGTGTGTCTGTACCGAGTATCCCAGGCTGTGGTTTGCAGGTGAAGTGCAGTTTGCCGCTGTAAAACTCCAGGCCAATGATGGCGAACATGAGGATTGCAAAGAACAGGAGCAGGCCGATCTGCAGCAGAGGGACCATGGCCTTCATTATAGACTTCAGGACTATCTGCAGACCTGGAAGTGAAGCACACAGTGACCAGCAGAATTAACATGAAAACACTGTGTTTAAGGCTTACTTAAAAAAAATCTAGCAGACCTTAAATGATCATTCAATCAATTGATTAGTAGAATGTCAACATTTTTGATAATTAATTAATCATTCAAGTAATTTTTTTCCCAAGCAAAAGTGGCAAAGATTATCTGGTTCCAGCATCGCAATACTGATTTGATGTGTCTCCTCAGGCTCTGAAAAATGTGAGGAGCATTTTTCACTTTATTCTGAGATTTTATAGAATATTTGAAATGTAATTTTTTTCTGTTTTGTGTGTGCATCACAAACAAAAATCTATTTGTCTTTATTGTATTGAGGCTGAGGCAGGAATCTTAGAGGCCAATATCTCAAAACCTGGTCAAAGAGAACCAAAACTATAACTATCTGCATGACTACATACCATTGAAGGAAAGTGAAAACATATGTTTTCTTGTAATTTTGTTGAAATGAAATGACCATGACTGTCATAAAAAAGATATTACTAGTGGTACTTACTGGGAATGCCTGAGACCAGTTTGAGGGGTCGAAGCACTCGCACCGCCCTCAGAGTCCTCAGGTCCACTGAGATGTTCATATGTGCCCCTGCTGCAGCCAGGATCCTACAGAGGTAAACACGACATACAAATGTCCAAATGCAAACCCACACAAACAGAAGACAGAGAGACGGAGCACAATTGCCAGTGTCTTGCAGATGCATATGAATGCTACAATTTTTACGGTTTATAAGCTGAGAGGAGCTGTGTCAAAAAGGGGACTCACACACACATAAACACACCACACAGACCATCACACACGATGTTGGAGGATGGCTGCAGTGCTTAGATATGGAGTGTGAACATGTGAGGGTCTCCAGCAGGCAGAGAAAAAAGAGAAAACAACAAGGATGCTTTTGGGGCTTTTGGCTGTTTCCCTGCGTGTGGGAGGATGGCTGTGACAACAGTTATTTAGGAGGAGAACAAAGAAAGCAGCTCCATCAAGGGAAGGCAGGACACCCTTAGGCTGGAGAGACATAAAGCTCATGGACAAACACATGGACATGGACACACACACACACACACACACATCGATCCTTTATCTGCTATACAAAGCCAGGGTCCTTCAGAAGTTCCATTTCACTTTGTTTGTCTTGTTTTGTCTCCTCTATTCCCCCCATCCTGTAAATATACCTCTGTGGCCTTCAGCCCTCAGACTGATGAGGAGAAGAAAAGCTTCCTCATTAGTCTGCCCTCCTGCTTCCCTTTTCTCTCTTTTTACACTCTCATACGATGCTCTTCATCCCTAAACCTCTCTCCTCTCATCTACCACCTCCTCTACCTGTTTTTCAATCCCCTCCCCAATTATACTTGCACTTCTGACTCTTTTTTGGTTTTTCCATTTTCCAGTGACCTGAACACATTTATTCTCCTTTCACCTGGATGAGAGACAGAGATGGATGGCGAGATGAGGTAAAGAAAAAAAAAAAAGAAGAATAACAAAGAGGGAGTTCAGGACATGTTTTTGCCAAAGAGTGGCAGAGCATTTTATTTCTGTAACTGCAAATTTTACTGTACTGAGTGAGCGCACACTGCTCTTCTGCGCAGCTGAAACCAATGGCTGCTAAATAATTACACTCATTCAATTCAATTGAAAAGAAGACAAAGATGAAGGCAACAACATATAAGAATTTCTCAGTAAGTGACATGTGGATGATGTAAAAGGGTTGCAGCCCTGTAAACATATGATTTAAGAGCCAGCTTTAGGTGCAGTAATTTGCTCTACAATGATTGCATACTTTATCATCACACAGCTAATAAAACAGCACTACAGACCCAGTTGTATTTCTGTGATAGGGGGTGAGAATTAGTCCTGTCTATAGAGTTAGGAGACACAAAGCGTCATCTGATTTAATTAAGAGTCTGAGGGAGAGGGAGAGAAAGATTAAAATAGCTCACCATCATCCACACAAATATAGAAATGAAATTATCCTCTTGAGTTTCACACCTGTAACTATTTCCCTTTGGATTTTTCCCCTTTTCACCCTAGTCTCAACAACTCTGTTTCGTCCTATTTTGTCTTTTCCTTTTCCCTTCTTTTCGTCCAGTCACTCCCTCCACTGCCTCCTGCCACCTCTGTCATTTCATCCCCCACATCCTCCATCTCTCCATCTTTCTTCAGACCATTAGTCAGTCCTGGCTGTTCTTTAGTTGTTATGGAGACTACGGGATGGAGGGTCTAAAAATGGCTTCCTCATTAAGTCTGCTGTTATTCAGTGGATGTCCTGGGCCCCGGTTTCCAATAATGACTGTTTGTAAAGGTTAAGAGTGTTTTATAAGAGTGGGATGCTCTTAAAGTCCAACCAAAGTTACAAAACCCATCCATTTTTTACAGTCTGAAATCAATGTCATTTTGAATTTCATTCATTTTGAATGTTGTTTGTCTGTAAGCTTGGTTACTCTATGTGTTCATGCTTGAAGATAAGAAAGAGATATTACAGCTTAAAAGATAATGTTTGCTGCTGTTTCCTAGTCTGGGGCTCTTTTGTGTCTGTGTCCTGGGCTGCAGTCTGGAGGTCAGTACCACTGTCACGCTAATAGTGCAGTGCTAGTTACTTCTAGGGCTAAAAGTGATAAACTGCTTGATTCGCTAGATAAAAAGAAGTTCTCTGTATACAGGATGCACACTGGAATACACAGAGAGAGGGTGTACCTTCATATAAAAAAATATTACATGTAAATTTCTTTGTTAGCTGCTGTTTTGTCCTTTAAAGAGGGCACGTGTTTGTGTGATGCTGCAAAAAAAATATGTGCATTTCAACTCCATTTGGATAAAATCTTTACCAACAGTGGAGGGAAGAATAAGTACATGTGCATAGCTGAGTTGTCCATGGTGTTGAAAAAGATGACAGATTCATATTACAGTTAACTGTCTGTTAGTTCCATTATATTATATAGTAAAGAAATAAAATAAAATAGGACTTAAGACTTCCAATAAAAAATATAACCTAATTTACAGCGTGAGCTGGCGGCTTGCTGAATTTTTATGTCCGTCTCCTCAGGAGAACCTGGTCTGGTCTGATTGCCAATCTACAGTATGAGAAGCCAGGCTCTGGCTCTCTGCTTGCTTCCTCTCTCCTCTTCCAGTTGGAACTTTTTCTCACACACAAAAAATGAATTTCAATATTTACTTACTACCTCCTGATTCTTGCTTGGATGTTTTTATTGGCTTCTTGGTTTAATAAAGCCTCTTACAGGCTGTAATGGACAGAACTGCATATTCTCTATCAAAGAAATAACTAGTTAACATACATAGTTGACAGTAAAAATTAGAAATGTATGAGAAGTAAACAAAACAGATCAGGAAAAGGACTCTTCTTAGTCAGATAAGATAAAACACTATTATAGAGAATGGTAGCTCTGCACCAACAAAATAAAATAAAGATGTTGTCAAAACATCCAGTAACATACAACTCTCTCCATCACAGCGTTTTACGAGCATCACTGTGACAGCCATGCTGCACACTGCTGCCGTCTGGACACTGGCACCCCCTATATGACGGAGACGTGGAAGGTGAAGGTTGGCCACAGAAACTGGCAGATTTAAATCAGCCAAGGGAAGCACAACACATGGCTTATTTGGCGCAAAAGAACAATTTGGCAGACAATTTGTTTCCTCCCTGTAGTTTCCCTTCTCCATCTTGCAGGACTATTCATTTATCTGTTTGTTGTATTAGGTTAGGCCTATTTTATGATTTAAATGGAATCACTCATGTGGCATTAAACAGCATTTTACCCACAGAGAGCATCATGATGACAGTATAGACCAAAAGATGAAATGAAATGAGCAATAAATGATAAAGACTTTTCCTTCTGCAGGTGTTTGTTTTCACATTATAACCTGTAGCTTTCAATCTCTGTGGGAGGTAGATATTAATGTAAGATCAATTTAAAAGGGAGTTTGATTACAGTGAAAGGGAGACACTATACATTTCAGAAACAACCTCAAAATGTAAAAGCATGTATTTTATAGTCTTCTTAACCCTTAGCTGCTTTGGCGTAACAGTGCCCAAGTGTCTCACAGTCTCCCTCTTTTTTTTCAGTCAAGAAAAAAAGTCTGTTACAGTTCAGAAACTAACTGGATGAGCTAGTCAGGAGGGTTGTATTGATTGAACCCTGGTGGTCACTTTATGGGCACCTTGATAGATCTCAGAGACAACACACATCTGACAGGTGCCTGGTGTATCTACAAGTTAATAAAGTCACTTTCACTAGGAGCTGTCACACAGAAAAACGTCTTTGTTCACCCCGCATCTACAGGCGTCATGTGAGACACACACTGTAGTGAACTGAGCCGATGCCCCGGTCTGAGTTGTCAGCCATGATAAGTGAATAACTGTGACATACCCTGCAGAACTGACAGCTCCATGCTGCGTGACAAATCTGTCGTGACACCGTCATGCCGTGATACTGATAACGTTGTGACTTATGCTCCATGTCACTGTCAAGCTGCTTACTGATATAACAAGAGCACACCTGACTATTGTAATGATATTAATTGTACAGCATGTGTTGTTTACACCACTTTTCTGCAAAAAAAAAAATGTATTGCTGTCTAATCTTTTATCTTGTGAAACACTCTGAAACCTCTGATAATGAAATCAATGGGTTCCTATCAAACAATCTCCAGACTAAAACCACTTCCCTAAATAGCTTAATATTGTGGAAATGCAGACTGTGGTGGTTAGACAATTTACACCTTTATCATGCTAACTGGTACATCGAGTTTGGTAACACCATGCTATTCCCAGTATAGCTCCACCCAACTTCAACCTGATTAGAGGTGTAATTAACCAAGTTAAGTGTCCAAATGTGCATGTTACAACGCCTCTCGAATGGTCTCATCTAAATGAAATGCAGTTGTTAGCAATACCATTAATTAAACCTGTGCTTTTCCTAGAATGACATCTCAAAATGTCTGCTGAAAAAGACTTCTGTGCAAGCAATGTATCTGATGATGCCAAATAGTGGTGATACAGTAACTTGTGACTTCTGGAAGGTTTTCCACCCAACAAAGAATAATGCACCATACAATATATCGTTATTAATGTTTCAGTGCCCAAGAATCCAGCAGCATGGTTTGCAGTAGATTGCATCAGAAGGGGGTGGGGGTGGCGGGGGGCAGTAATAAGCACCATGAAGAAACACACACCGTGACGTGATAAAACTAAGCTGGAAGTCATATCATAATCACTAGAGCAGAAAGTAAACTTTCCTTCAAAGGTTGCTTGTTTTGATTTTTAGGGGTATTTTGGTAAGATAATATTGAATGAATATACTACAAAGCATACTGCAGCAGCAGATGCATTTTATTGTCCTGAACTGTCCATCCAACAATTGAGTTTTTGTAATGTCTCCCATTTGAATCTGCCAGTCACAGGATTCCCCAAATCTCCAGCAGTGGATCAGTTGTTGCAGTCATATGTAACAGTTTGGTAAAAGAAGTGTAAATATAAATTTCTTCTCCAGTTTATGAACTTTAAAGGAAACTTTTCCGCAGGGCAGAAAATTTTCTGTCTCTGACAATAACAGTAGTGAGACATTGCATATGTCTGTCCAATGCACTA